GGAACTAATCACATTCAGGATTATGACAGCCAGATTCAGCTCCAAAGGAATGAAGGAAGGTCGCAATCACCCAGTGCTACGCACAATGCTACAAACAACGCGGAACAAGAGAAGAAGGAATATTTTCATAGAAAACTACAAACAGTAATGGATAACATCCCGAATGGTGACATCAACATTCTTATGCGCGATACAAATGAAATCCAAACGGGGAGAAGATAATACAGGAAGAGAACTCATCATGGGTCGATAGGCTCCCGCTCGAAGAAATGAATGAGGATGGAGAATTATTCGCAGACTTCTGCGCCTTCGATGATTCGGTGATCGGAGGGAGCGTGTGAAAACACAAGGATATGCACAAAGCAACACGGATTTCGCCTGACGGACATACCACAAACCAGGTAGATTTCACCTCAATGCTGCTCAAGGAAGTGGAGACGCAGCTAGTCTGCTGGACACAAAGTCGAGAAGCGACAGACGACAATCCAAGTTCAACATTAAGATATGAGTATCAAACTTGGGCACTGTGGTAGAGTGTAACATTAAGAAACTGAAGGACAAAACAACCAGGGATGCCTTCGCTACAGATCACATCAGAGCAAAGTGGGAGACACCACATGGAATTACCGAGGAAACCTGCACGGAAGAACATTGAAACTCTTTTGAGGTGATGTTCAAAGAAACGTGTACAGCTGTTTTAGGAAGAAAGAAGAGTCAAGACAGAGAATAGCTTTCAACGGACACCTGGAAGCTGATATAGGAGAGGAGGGTGGTGAAAGAGCAGATGACCCGATGCAACGATGGACAACAGAAGGAGAAGTTGAGTTCAGTCTACATCGAACTGAGTAAAGAAGTGGAGAAGAGTGCTGAGAAAGATGAAATACAATTCCACGACACACTGGCTGGCGGCAACTGAAGCAGAACAGACCGCAGAAAACATAAGAGAGAGAGAGACCTCAGAGTATTACATCAGATAACCAGGTCTCTACCGGAGAAGAGATCAACCCAGATGATGAACCCAATAGAAGCAGTCCAAGGGGGCCTGAATACCAATGAGGAGAGGCAAAGAAAACAATGTGCTGATCAATTCAAAGGAATCTTGAATCGACCATCACCCGTGACCCATCCAGAAATACCGCCAACAGCCACATATTTGTCGCTTGGTCGACAATTCTCCAGCTAAAGAAGAAATTCTGAATGCGATCCAGCTACTTAAGTCTGGGGAGGCAGAAGGCCCAGTCGGAATCATGCCTTAAGCACTGAAATCGAACCCAGAGACTGCTGCATATGTGCTCACGCCATTACTGCAAAAGGTTTAGAAGGAAGAAAAGGTGCCTATCATTTGGGAGAAAGACTAAGTCGTCAAACTAAGAAGGAAGGTGACTTACGACCCACTCTGCAAGAACTGGCGCGGAATAATGCTCTTGTCCACGCCAAGTAAAATACTAAGTCGCATCATCTCAGAGAGAATAAAAGATACACTGGATGCACAACTCCGCGCCCCGGAACAAGCTGGATTCAGGAGAGGTATATCATGTGCTGGTCAAATTGCAACTCTACGCATCATCATCGAACAGAGCATAGAATGGCAGCAAAACCTCTACCTCAACTTCAGCGGCTTCGGAAAGACCCTTGACAGTGTTGACCGAGAAGTAATTTGGAAACTGCTTCAACATTACGGCGTGCAGTGCCCAAGTCTTTATCAACCTCATTCAACAGCTGGCTATATGACGATGCCACGTGTCAAGTGATCCACAACGGATAACTAAGGGATGCCTGTCTTTAAAGTGAATACAGGAGAAAGACAAAGTTTCCGATTATCACTGATGATATTCCTGATTGTGGCGGACTTCATTATGCGTCAAACTGTGGGGAGTGAGACAACAGGGACAGGTTGGACTGATAAGAAGACTCTAGGAGATCTGGATTTCGAGGATGACTTATGTCTAGTGTCACACAAACTCGAAAACTTACAGGCGAAAACCAACAAACTGGCAGAGAAGACAGGACTCCAGGTAAACATGGAGAAAACGGAGGTGACGAAGATAACCAACCAACAGCAACAACAACCAGCACCAATCACCATCAACGGGAGAGATTTACCACAGGTTACTTTCCACTTTCACTTATCAAGGAAGCACGGTTTCAACCACAGGAACACGGCACGGAATCGGAAAGGCAAGACACGCCTTCATCAAGCTGATAGCAGTTTGGAAATCTTCAGCACTAACACCTCAGCATAAATAACAAGATTCGGATTTTCAACACAAATGTCAAGTCGGTTCTTCTCTAAGGGTATGAAACTTGGCCAGCGCGTGATGAGAAGGATTTCCAACAGGTTGCAGACTTTTATCTACAGCTGCCACCCTCGTTGGCTCCATAATGAAGATGAAATGGGCAGCCGGCCAGAAAGAAATAGTAACAAGAAACTCTGGCAACAAACCAACCAAGAGCTGATTGCTCAACAAATATGTAGGGGAAAACGGAGATGGACCGGACGTATCTTGAGGAAGCCATCTAATGACATCACTTGTAATGGAATCCTAATGGTAATCGACGAGTGGGTTGTCCTTGGGTGACATGGAGGATATCATGTGAGGAGATGTGAGGTTATGGGCATTCGTGGGCTCAGCTGAAGTGGGTGTCACAAAACAGAACAAGGTGGAGATCTGTCGCTGAAGCCCTTTGTCGCATTCGGAACCCACGGGAACAATGATAATAATATAATAACGTAACTAAATATGGATAGAGGGAAAAGTATTACAAATGCATTTATTATGAAACAGGAAGCTGCTAAAAAGTTCTGTTTAGATTTGTTTTCTGCAGAGTGGCCGTATGTTACTCTTATGCAAAATCCATCAGGTTGGAAAAATGTCCCTTTCGAGGTCCAGGGTTACGAGTGCGATGACCGTCCATCTGGCTAGAGAAGTACTACTGGTTGATATAAGTGGTATACAACTACTCTTCCAAGTCTATCAGCAGTACATAGATTTTAGTATATATGTTTTCTTTCTTCATTAAAATTTACGGTACCGAAAAATTCAGTCAGCTATAAATACTAGACAAGATAACAATGTTTACACATTATTGACCGATCAGAGAATCGGTATTTTTCCTTCTCTTGGGTCCACAGGATTTTAAAAATTGCTGAATACAAACTGTTAGTCAAATAGCCCGATAACGCCTACAGGGATTTAATGGTGTTCTCTTTGTTGATTTTGAAACTTGCAACATTCTCGTACATTCGGGCTTTCTTCAGTCAAACCAAAATTTATAAAAAGCACTGTCTCTCTACATTGGCACACGTCCTCCTGAATGAAACTAATATGTACTGAGACTAGAACTTATGAATCCTTGTGCTAAGTTATGCAGTAATCTGTCTCCTCACATAGTGAATTAAAGGTCAGAGATGAGCATTTGTTTACCACACTTATGTAAAGGTCATCACGAAATAAATTGGCACAGCGAATCAGACAGTTGTCGACAGATTTTATCAAGTCATCGGGTGGGATATATGATAGAAAGTAAATAATTAGGAGTATATTAGTTTATACCACAATAAGTACATTTAAGCAGATGCGTGTGAAACATTTTTGTCATGAAGTTCTAAAATTATTTATTTATTTATTTTTAAAAAAAACCATATATATACGATTGTACAGCTTGATAATAAATTCGTTGAAAAGAGTCTCTTCGCTGAATATTGTGTTCTTAATGCTACAATGGGAATTATTAAATTATTTATTTATATACCGATACATAATATATATATATATATATATATATATATCCGAAGTCATATCTGTACTACGCATTATTAAGTTACTCACAACAATAATTCTCATTACTCGTTAAAATAGGAAAAACGGCTAGTCTATAGAATATGTCAGTTCAGTCAACATTGCGAGACGATGTACAAAAATTACGAGACAAAACGAAATATAAAAACATATTCTGCATGCAGCTAATTAGTTTAGAAAACAAATATACTTGACGTTCATGCATTCCTTGTCACTCGTTGATTTTAAACGTTACAGATCCATCGAATTATGAAATATTTTACAACTGTAAGTGCTACCTAGAAATATTAATATGGTTAATGAGTTTGTTGTATCCCATATAATTACTGGTTTTCATGCTTAAGTTGTTATATATGATTAATTAGTTTGCATATGACGAACGGCGATTTCAGTAAACAAGTTAGTTATTATATAAAATTTCAGTGATTAGGCTTCAAGTTTTCATCTTGCTTAACCTTTCAGAAAGGTTTAGATTGGCATCGCGTAATGTGAATAAGACTATTTTCAACTTCAACAGAGTTTAAAAATGATGCGAAATTTGTACAACGAAGTAATGAAGCTATTTCACTATAACTCTTTGGGATTACATACATTCTTTATCATTCGTGAAGTTTAGCACTGATAACTAATGTTCAGTGCATCTATTTTTAAATGAGTACATCAATATTGATTAATTTACTATTACGATCGAATTCACATCTAAAGCACGAAGTTGTTTTAGTTTAATATTTTCAGACACGATATTATACTAAAGAAAGAATCATCCTCATAATGCAGTTAAGAGGGAAGTTAGGAGATTTATGGATTACGATTCTGGCATTTAAAGGCGTGCTTTTCACTTGTGTTTATGCACTGATTTTGTCTATACTTCCAATCACGGTACCTGGCAAGGTGAGATGATTTCTAATGTTTGAATCTTATATATATATATATATGCATACATTTACATATATATAAGTAGGTAACCTTTTGGGATTACTTGCCAGTTAACGTATGCAGAAATTTAAAAGAGTTGTTGATAAGTTTAATGTACTTGTTTAATCTTTCTGTTAACACATAATCATCATTCTGTTTGTACGACACGCTCTCACTTCCCGTACACTAGTATTATCTTGATTAACGAACTCATAGACGCTCTTAATTTGTTCGTATTTCATTTCTGAAATTAAGCCGGCTAAAGGAGCCTACGTGTTATTACTTATGACGGGGTTGTGGATAACCGAAGCTATACCAATTTATGTAACTTCTTTGATCCCAATGGTTCTTGGACCGTTGTTACAACTTTCTTATCCATCCAAAATCTCTCCAGCTTACTCAAAGGTAAGTGGGTTTCATACCATAAATTTACTCTCTCACAAGCTAGATTCATTCTTAGAATTCTTTGGACTTTCCTTGTTGAAAGAATGTGTTATAGAAAAAGACCAACTACAGCTAAATTAATTACTTAAGTTTCCTTTACAATATTTTTTCATTTGAGGATATATGTTACTTATTTTAATCCTAATGAATCTGGATTCTGTTGCGTTTTCAAGCTGTGTTAGCGGACGAATGAAGTAGTTTCTGATGAGCAGAACCAAAACAGATGTCACAGGTAGACTTGATGCTATTTCGAAAGTGATGAATTCTAAATTGCTCAAACATTTATCTCAGCCAGATTATTTTTAGAACTTAGATTATTAATTAACTTAAGATAATGAAACAATGGGATGATTAGATGGCGCATTATTTTTAATGGTTTATTTTGTGCTTTAACAGATTCAGAGTGTAAAATTGTCTACATTCGTTTTTAGTGCTTCTAGACATCAGTATATGAATAAATAAATTATTTTAGAACCTCATGACACAAATGTCTCACATGCGTCTGCTTAAATGTACTTAATGTGGTATAAACTAATTGACAGGTTTCGAGATATTAAACAGTTCATTTTGAGTAAGTGTTGAAAAAATATGCATATATTTGCAATCTTCTACAGGTTAGTTTTGTCACAAAAACTTTAAGACCACCACAACAGTTTTGTTGCTGACTGAATATGCTAACAGCCCTATGCTATGCTGAGCAATTTCTGGCTGGCTGGCTGGATTCAACATAGAACTTGGCACCGAAGTGCAGCAGTTCGAGTTGCCACGTTCCAGAGAGCACACAAAGGTAGACAAGAAGGTAAAATTTCAAAACGAAATCTCCAATTTTGCTATGGACAAATACCAGTGTAACAAAAAAAGAAAATTTAACCTCCTCCTGCCTGTTATTGATTTTGTACTATAATCCTCAGATGTATCTATCGGAATTATCTCCAGTTTTGTTCAGGCGATTATCTGGATTGAAAATGTTTCTACAAGCTCTGAATAAAGTGTGCTAATATGTTGCACTAATGTAGGGATTTTGCATTTCGATGAAAACTGTATGGAATAGGATATCTGATAACACATTTCACAAATATTCTTTTGCAAACTACTATCATAAACCTTCGTTGAATAGCACTTTTAATAATTATAAAAGTATTGTCTTAACTGCTTTACATTTTCTGAATTTCAGGATACGAATATGCTAACATTAGGGGGTTTGTTAATGGCATGTGCAATGGAAAATAACAATGTACATAGACGAATCGCTATATCTATTCTCAGACTTGTTGGGAGTGATCCAAAAATGTATGTTAATTGTTTAAAATCAAAACTTTATGAAGTGTTTCATGTATATTTAAATATTTTGGCCGGAATGGGCATTTGTGATCAATGGAAATAAGTGAAAAAATATAACACAATGAAACCACTTCCAGAAGTTTTTCATAAAGTCTAACCTGATGTGATTCACTTTTGGGAAGTTTCTTACTCAGCTTCAGTGATACAAAACTTAAAAATCAACTATTGATAACTTTCATTTACACAAAACAGAGTCTATCATCAAGCTTCATATAGATTATCTCGATTTGGTTTCGAAGTTTAGAATATTTTCACTAGCTGTCAATTAACTGTTAGTGTCTGTAACATCCAAGTATTTGTTTTATTGGACATTACTTTCATTCACTTTCTCCCGCTTTACTGCTCTATGGTTCGGTTATTTTAACTTTGGGGCTTCCGAGCATACTCCTATGCGTCCATCTCACCTACTCAAATAAATGAATGCAGATATGAATAAATAGCACCCAAATTTTATTCAGTGTCATTCATGTTGTGACCAGGCTGTTGTAGCCTTCTTACTACAAAGATTCCAATGATTACACTGACAAATGCTAGTGTACATAAATCTAAGATCATGTCAAAAAGGAAGCCGAAAAAGCATGCGGTGATGTTGTGAACTTTCTCCAGTGTGTTTGAGACATTTTCATTTCATGGTGATCAAAGTAAACTTTTGTAGGTTTACGCTGAAAGAAAAGACTAATTAGATCAAGACCTAGCGTCAGTTGCTGAAGTCTGTGACTGCTTGTCTGAAGTCCACAGGATGTCGGTGATCAATGTTTTGGCATCCATGATTCAGGAGCAACAACAGTGTCATAAATCTATAAATTATTCGTAATATATGGAAAAGAGGACCTTACACTACTTTCCTCCCATCAAATCTCTCTTACTGATTTTACGTTTAATAGTACTCTTATTCACTTCCTCTTCGGCTTTCGAATCTAGTAACTAGTGTATCCGTTCTTTTTTGTAGGATGTTCTTAATTACTCTGTTTGACTTTCACTGTTATTTCTTGAACAGCGTTAAAGTAAGGTTTGATGAAACTGTCAAAGTCATTAATTACGAATTTTATTTAGTTTTATAAATTCACTGTTATAATTTTATACGATGTTGCGAATGTAACCTGGTCTACAATTTATTGTATTCATAATTTATCTTACTTCACAATGAATGTTTCTTCATTATGCTGCAAGACACTCGCCTTACCTAGATGAAACAACTCACTTGGTCAACATAAGTATTTATGCATAACTTTCGCTTCCATTTATTTCCTGACAAGATGCATGCAATATGTCACTTTGCTGAGACATTTAAATTGCGCCCAAAAAAGCTTTTCAGTTGGTTCCAGTCACTGTCGATATATATTTTCTTACATTAAATATTTTTAATCTTCTTTCTGAAACCATCTGTAAAGTATATTCAGTGAACAAATGTAAAGATATCATTGTTCATGAAGCTTGATTTGATTATTTTGAGATATTGCTATAATAATGTAATGTATATACATATATATCGCTTACAGTAAATTTGATGCATTATTTCTAATTTTTTAATGTTAGATTTAGTGTTAATGCAGAGTACAGTAACTTTAAACTGTTTCTTGCAGGCTCATGTTTGGTATCATGTTACCAAGTTGGTTCCTGTCTATGTGGATGAGTAATACTGCGACTACTGCCATGATGATAACAATTGTCGATGCACTGTTGACCGAACTCACTAAAATCGGTAATGACTAAAACCATTTAACACATATTGTCGAAAAGTTTTCCTTTCATTGTAATATTCGTTTTGACATATTGTATAATAACAGTAGTAAATCAAGCAATCGTTACCTAACGTTTAAATATGTGAATGAACTATATTCCATTGTTTATAGGTAAATTTTTAGGTCTAACAGAATTATCTTCCAACTGATCGGTATCCCTTTCTCCATTACGTCTTGTTACAGATTTGAGTTTTCACATTAATTTTTATGCTTTGGTGGTTCAGTGGTAGAACGCTCGCCAACCATGCATATGGTTCGAGGTTTGACCCCCGGCAACTGATGCACTCCCTTACCTCGCTAACTCGGTAACAATAATGGTGAAGAGGAAAGGTTGGACGCATGACCATTACCTCCATTCCGTAAAAACAGCACCCCTGCTACCAAAACCTCAAAGCTAGTGCTTGAAGCCCTATGCAACATTCGGAACGTAATGGAATAAAGAAAACATTAAATTTTTGATGCATAACCACTAAATAAGAGTGACAGCTGAATCAAAAGATTCATAAATTGCAATTTCACTTTATTGTTATTTAATTATTCATGAGGCCTTAGTGCAACTCCATTGCCTTCCGTGAGTGATGTGCGTTCCGTTGTTAGCTCCTTGGCACGTAGAGTCATCATGGGTCGATTCATCATCATTCTTTTCTCTTTCAGCTTACAGGTGTCGCTGGTAGGCCATTCTTTGTAGTGCTTCGTCTACCTGCCCAAGATTACTATACAGCCGTACTTCCATGTCACTGCTGATGATTCCAGTGATTTTTGACCTCTCTAACATTTTCTTTTGTCTTCTCTTGGTTCGGTATTCATATCACCCTTTAGAATTTTTTACATCTTTGAATTCGGTTTCGCTTCAATTTATGGATAAGTTTGATCTGTTTATTGATCTCAGGAACTTATGAAACTAATAATGAGGTTTACTGATTCTTTTCAAGATGAATCTACGATGCGTTGGTAATTCAAAGTCTCTAGAGAGATTTGCGTTTCAGGCTAAATTAATTGGTGAAATAGCAGTAATTACAAGGTGTTCACCAACTTTTGGTTCACTTCACATGAAACGCCCACATTTGATTTCTTATAATAATTTATATTGGATTATAGTGCAGAGCATGAATATGACTGATTGGCAAATCTATCATTCTGCCCCGATTACTTAAGCGCAAATACCTGCAAATATTAAAAGATGGGATAATATTAATAGAAATAGCTACGAAAGTTATACTGCTATTTTATTTGAAGAAGAAAATTAACTAATACCGGATGTGTGGAGAAGCTTCTGGAAATGGTCGGGTCGGTGTCCTAATTTTTTGTTCTAACTCCAAGTGTTACTCAAGTGATCAGTATTTGTGAAATCTGTATTCTTAGTTGGACTTGTAAAGGACTTTCATGGGTGGAACAAAATGTCTGAACGTGATATAAGGGAAACGAATGAAAATAAGCATCTGACAGTTTTTCAACATGGAATGGATATATAGTATCTTGATAAAAATTCTAGGCTTTCGGAAACTTAATACTTACAATTCTTAAATTATTACTTTTTACAGAACTAGAAGATTATCTAGAAACTTCTGGGAGGTGAGTCACAAATAATATTTATACTCTTTATAAATTGTTTTGCTAAGCATTGTTTGGGCTTTCTCACATGTGCGATTCATGAAAACATTTGTGGTTTTACCAACTGTCATTCATTTATTCTAATCTGACATTTGAGTCCATATTTAAACAAGGCGGTTAAGCAATATCGTCAATATCTACACAAGTCTGTTTAGCCTGCATAAAGTATGTGAAATGGTAGCCAGAGGGTCACGAATGTAGCTCGCAGTTCCTTAATGTGTTGATAGAAGTCTACCATTTAAATTCGATAGGTTACAGGGCACTTATTTTTGTCCAAGATTTCCTGAGGCAGATTTTCCACAGCAATCGACACTATTTGTTTTCTGTTTTAACCTCAGAAATGTGATGATGACATAAGACTGTCCAATGAAGGTACGTAGACATCTATCTTCCACACTGTTATAGTGGGAGTAGTAATTTCCTTTAACTTCCAAACCGTAGTTTGGGACAGTCATATTTTAGCGATAGTTGGAATCCATTAATAACCTATTGCACTTCACGTTTGATAATCACTGTAATATTCTAAGGATTATGGATAGCAAATTACACTTCATGTTTCGATTACGATTAGGATGAATAATTCAGAATAACCGTACTACAAAAAAACACTTGTGTGAACATTTGAAACATTTTATCTCTGTAAAAAATGTTGACACATTGCCTAAAATCAAATGGTTGAGTTTCCGGGCTTTTCAAACCTGAAAAACGCAAGTATTCAGAGCATTTGCTGAAGAAGTTTACTTTTCTATTGTAGCAATGTACTTGCAGAAGAAACGCAAAACACTATCCAAGAAAGTGCAAACAATTCACATTTACAACTCAGGGATGCTGAACAAGGTACTGTTATTACAACAAGACACCCTGTGAGTAGCAAACGACTGAAAGAAGTGTTCAGAATGAATGCTGGGCTTAGTCTTTGTATCGCTTATGCATCTTCAGTTGGTGGTATAGCGACAACAATAGGCACGCCAACAAACACCTTTCTTTATGGATCAGTTATACAGTACGTTTATTTTTATAATAGTTTATCATAATTTTTTCTAAAAATTCCGTATTCATGAAAATTTGCATTCTGTACTGCTGAAAAACGAACTCCCTCATATGACCAGCCCACCATACGGATATCAGTTAGCTTGCTCCTTTGAGAATAAGTATTCAGATCATTTCACCCTTATCAGCGTGTTTAATTAAACAATACTTGTAACCATGAAAACATTTAGACGGCACTGTATTAGGTTAGTAATTATAAAATCATTGTGAATGGAATCACCGATAAGATGCTTTCTCAATAAAAATTCTAGTCAAGCAATTATTATAATTCACCTAGCCTAGTTAACTAGTTGACTAGTTTTCTAGCCAGTCTCAAAGCCAGGCAAAGAGGGAAGAGTGGACGTGAGGCTAGCAACCCAACACCAATAAACCTATCAAACTGTTAGAGAAACTTCATCACACGTAAAATATATTACAAATACAAACATTCAAATAACAAATGTATTATTCGCTCGAATCGGAGAGGCGAAATGACGCAGCGGGATGGTGGAAGCCCGCCTTCGGAAAGCCAGCTGTAAGGCTGCCCAGGTAGCCAACGGAATGAGAAAATACGGCTGAGAAGTGCTGGGTATCTCCAAAGCAGATGGAATGGGCGTGGAACAGCCAAATAATCATTATTCTACGACAACTACGCGACCACTGAGGCAGTGAGTGGTTATCATGGTGTCAACAACGGCCACCGAAGCCCTAATGTAGTGGGAACTAATCACATTCAGGATTATGGCAGCCAGATTCAGCTCCAAAGGAATGAAGGAAGGTCGCAATCACCCAGTGCTACTCACAATGCTACAAACAACGCGGAACAAGAGAAGAAGGAATATTTTCATAGAAAACTACAAACAGTAATGGATAACATCCCGAATGGTGACATCAACATTCTTATGCGCGATACAGATGAAATCCAAACGGGGAGAAGATAATACAGGAAGAGAACTCATCATGGGTCGATAGGCTCCCGCTCGAAGAAATGAATGAGGATGGAGAATTATTCGCAGACTTCTGCGCCTTCGATGATTCGGTGATCGGAGGGAGCGTGTGAAAACACAAGGATATGCACAAAGTAACACGGATTTCGCCTGACGGACATACCACAAACCAGGTAGATTTCACCTCAATGCTGCTCAAGGAAGTGGAGACGCAGCTAGTCTGCTGGACGCAAAGTCGAGAAGCGACAGACGACAATCCAAGTTCAACATTAAGAAATGAGTATCAAACTTGGACACTGTGGTAGAGTGTAACATTAAGAAACTGAAGGACAAAACAACCAGGGATGCCTTCGCTACAGATCACATCAGAGCAAAGTGGGAGACACCACATGGAATTACCGAGGAAACCTGCACGGAAGAACATTGAAACTCTTTTGAGGTGATGTTCAAAGAAACGTGTACAGCTGTTTTAGGAAGAAAGAAGAGTCAAGACAGAGAATAGCTTTCAACGGACACCTGGAAGCTGATATAGGAGAGGAGGGTGGTGAAAGAGCAGATGACCCGATGCAACGATGGACAACAGAAGGAGAAGTTGAGTTCAGTCTACATCGAACTGAGTAAAGAAGTGGAGAAGAGTGGTGAGAAAGATGAAATACAATTCCACGACACACTGGCTGGCGGCAACTGAAGCAGAACAGACCGCAGAAAACATAAGAGAGAGAGAGACCTCAGAGTATTACATCAGATAACCAGGTCTCTACCGGAGAAGAGATCAACCCAGATGATGAACCCAATAGAAGCAGTTCAAGGGGGCCTGATTACCAATGAGGAGAGGCAAAGAAAACAATGATATAAGAATAAAACTTGGGCACTGTGGTAGAGTGTAATTCCATTATGGGTAAATTTTATTTTGATAGAGTCTCACAGTGTTATACAGTAATATTTACTGATGACGTTTCGAGCACAATTTATTGCTCATAATCATATCAAGGTAATCACACGACTTCCTAAATTCATTTATATATTTCCATTATTTTCACTTGATTTCCACTTGATTTGATTGGTAGTGTTATTTTCCATATTTCGGGTATTAGTGATGATTCATTCCTATTGCACGTGTTGGGTGTAGATTCGATGAACAAAGATTCAGTAATCAACCTCTCTCTCCACCTACCTAGATTACCTAGAACAATGTGCTGATCAATTCAAAGGAATCTTGAATCGACCATCACCCGTGACCCATCCAGAAATACCGCCAACGGCCACATATTTGGCGATGGTCACCAATCCTTTTACATTGAAACTATGGAAATCCGAGCGGCAGGATTACTGGATAAAATTCCTCCTGAGGTGTTATAACGTTTTACAGATTCTAGTAGTTCTGATGACGCCATAACTGCCAAACGTTTGAAAGGAAGGAAAGCTACCTTCCGACTTGAAAAAAACCCACCTGGTCAAACACTAATGACGGGCGACTGAGATCTATTTAAGATCTAGGGCGGAATCTCGCTCGTGTCCATGACAAGCTAATAATTAAGTCGCGTTATCTTTTAGATATTAAATGATGCTCTGGAAGCAAGGCTTCACTTAGAACACGTTGGATTCAGGTAAAGAGAATAATGTGAGGATCACACTGCAATTCTACGCAACATCACGAAACACAGCATTCGGTTACATTCAAATCTCTGCCTCGACTTTAGCGACTAAGGATTGGCCTTCGATAGTGCTGACTGTGAAGTTATTTGGAAACTGCTTCAACACTACGGCGTGCAGTGCCTAAATTTTTATCAACATCATTTAATATCTATGTTGTAATTTCAAATGTCATGTGATCCACAATAGAAGCTTAGTGAAGCATTCAATGTGAAGACAGGTGTAAGGAAAACCAGTAGACTACCACTGCTGTTATTCGTGATTGAGCTGGGCTGGTTCATCCAACAGATCGTGGTAACCGAAAGACAAGTACACGTTAAACTGACGAAAAACGCACTGATAATCTGAACTATGAGTTGTTTCACATGAGCTCGAAGAACTACAGGCGAGAACCTACAAGGGCATCAAGAAGACATGGTGAAGATAGGACTTCCAGTGAAGAGTGAGGAGACAGGGTTGATGGAGATAGCCGACCAACCAACAAACAAAAATAGAAGACAAACCACTATCGATTATTAGCAGTAGTAGTAAAAGTTGAAAACTGTTAAGATTTAATATCTATTCAAATTTCTAGTAAACACATATTTAGGAGAACTGTTTATATGTTCTTTACGTTAATAACTTCAAAAACCAATGAAAAATTGACGGTACCACGAAATCCGATAAATTACATTTTGCTTGATTAACCACAGTGAAATTGTATACATATTGAGTCAGATTAGACATGAAAGTCATACTGTGAAACCGTTATGTCTGCTGAAAATGATGATAATACTGTGGTTTTTGGATCTGATACTTAATTGCAATAGGCCACTCGACTGAAGACTGAATATGACTGTTATCCCGTAATATATATATATATATATATATATATATATATATATATATAAGTAACTAATCTGATTGGCTGAAGAGTCGGTATAAAGTCAAAGGTAGTGTAATTAAATTTGACGAATATATGACTGCCTAATGAGCCAGTGGTTCAGGGTGTTTTCACCTTTCACTGGTTTCAGCTGTATTCTGTCACAGGCTACAAATACATGTAAAAATCCAGATTGCTTACACCTACATTTACTTTTATCAATTTGTTTAATTTCTAACAAAAATGTATCTTGTATTAATTTATATCAGAAATTTATCTCTGTAAATTTAACAAAACACTTAAGACGGACTATATGAAAAAAGAGGTTTCCTATATGTCCTTTCATTTAATCAATAATGGAAAAAGAAGTAAAAAGGTTTATTCATGAAGTTTGCCAAAATTCGTGGTTTAACTAACTGTTTTTTCTTTTCTTGAAAAAATTAATCCAGACGTTATGGTCAATCAACTGGCTTGGACTTTGGGACTTGGCTTTTATTCGCATTACCTCTTTCGATAGCCATGTTTCTACTTATTTGGTTTTGGCTCAGTCTACTATTTTTCGGGCCCAAGTAAGTATGACTTCTCCATATCCACGTTAAGTCTGTTTGAATTTTCAGAACTTTAAATGACATCACCTACCAAAAGCGAGTTCAACTGAGAAAGTAAAAAACCGTTCCCGAAGAAATTAAGCAGTTTGCGATAAATATGAATCATTTAAGTGCTCAAACTAGTAACATTTTGTCAAATCCAAACAATATCAGTAAATGCAATTGGGCATTGAAATCACACTTACAGCAATCAGCATAATTTAAACATACTACTAAGAAATTCCCAGTCATATCAGTTATCACCAGAGGTAGTTGTCTCATGTGACAACATCCACAATTACCCATCACAGATTCCCGGTATCACGACTCTAGTTTTATTTCGTTGTAGATGTATTGATGGTTGTGACTTTGTTGGATTTTGACCAATCAGAAATGGGCGTTTTAACTGGAATAAATATTCTTGACTTAGGGTGTGTAGAGGATAGGTGAATCCCGTTACCTGAAGACAACAAAATGCCTAATTTTCTAAACACACTGGTCAAAACTTTGAGTACGATCACAATGCTGTCCACTGCTGTCAAATTTCAATTCGTAAGGATAAAATGAAAAATACAAGTCTGCATGAGAAAAATGTGTAGAATTTAGATTATTTTCATGCGATTCTAGACTCGTCTTCTAATTAATCCCAAATGAATTACGCTGATTCAGACACACCCACCCACACACACACACACTGGCTACAGCAAGACTTCTAGTTACTCAACTTCAGAATGTGTATTCTTTTCATTTCAAATCATCGGTAGTACGCACCCACTGGGGTTCGAACCCAGCATCTTTAGTGGTCGTCTAACTGATATCAAACCGTGATCAACTCGTAAAAACAAATCTAATCCTTACAAATCAACTATAGAAAATAGTTTCATTGTTATTATTATTCCCTATTCCTATAAGCTTTAGTTTTGTTCTCACATTATCTCTTCTTTATTACCTACAGA